TTCTACATTTAGGAGAATTATGTAAAAATTTCCACACACACCGAGGACCACCAAGCCTGAGTGGGTTGGTAAAGCCTGCGTGTAAACTGTCAGGAATACTTTAAGCCCTGAGATAGGAAGTAAAGTCTAGGTGTATGCACGCTTAGAGACATACATCTGTCAGTGTATGATGCCGGTTGTATGTGGAGTGGCCGTTAAGAGTGGTGGTGTATTCGGCGATTTGAGAAAATGATCATCACGATTACTTGTTACCAAATTGGATATTTTAAACCCATGCGTATTTACATCGTTGTTTTATCGAGTTTAATTATAGGTACTGGGTGTGGAGGCGACGTGTGTTCACCTGGCACCCCTGGCTATCCTGAGAGATGACAGTTCTCAAGTGATAGTAACTCTAGCTCTGGTGGACCGGTAAGCCAATGGAAGGCGTCGGTCAGATGGCCAAAAGCGTCAAGAAACACTTGTCCTGTTTCCTGACAAGCTTCACCTAACCTGACCTGTTGGAAAGAAACCTTTGACACTCCCGTAGCGTAATGCTTGATATCCCTATTGTCCTGCTGCAGTCGACCAGCTCAAGTTGACAAATTTTGACACACATTTTGACACACTATCCTGGGTGATAGAAAATGACTGAAAACAGCTTTTGTTCCCTCTGTGTAACAATCATATAGATTAGGGTAACAGCAGACTGATAAAGTACCCAGACTCTTCACAGGATATATAACACGAGAGATGAAAATACTTATCTATTTGTGGCTGCAGGGGTCGAGTTGTAGCTCATGGCACCCGAATGTATGTATCTTAATGTATGTATACCGAGACCTTAATCCCTTCTTTCTTGACATGCAGTCTTATCTTTCTCCAGCCGCCGATGTTCTCGTACTGACTCAAAAACACACTTCGCCAACTCTGTCCTGTCATGGCTGCTCTTCACGACTAATACGCGTCCGGTTTCAGAACAAATCCCGTAAACTGGCATTACATATGGAGCGCTTATACACTTAATCAACCATTTTAATCACCCCTCCTTTAGTCGACCTGTTTGCACTCCATCAGCTAAAAGGACACAAGTGCAACTAATGTGACATTTATTGTGGCAACGTTTCGCTCTCCAGGAGCTTTATCAAGCCATTTCGCTCCTGGAGAGCGAAACGTTGCCACAATAAATGTCACATTAGTTGCACTTGTGTCCTTTTACTTTACATATTGTCGGTAATTCTACCAACTTTATTACACTCCATCAGCTAGCCAAGAAGACGTGAATTTTCTTTACCAAAGGCTGAAACGTCAAGATGCAGTGAGGATATGATGGTTTGGTTACATCATGATTATTTCTAACTGCCACAGTTCAGAGGAGAATTATTATTACATTTAAGGGAAAGCTATGAACTCGTAGGGGTTTTACAGCACCTGGGGAATGTTGAGTGAGGAGACAGCGCCTGGGAAATAGGGATTATGTTTGATTCCGACGAAGGGAAAGATAGATCCAGTTCCTTAGATCAAGAGTCCTGCAGCGCCGAAGTGACCGTTTGAAATGAGTTAAAGGGGAGAGAGAGAGAGAGAGAGAGAGGGGGGGGGGGGGGGAGCGAGAGAAGAATGAGACGGGGGATGAGTGAGAGAGAATCAAAAGTCAGATTTATTAAATAACGCGCACCTTGTGACATTGAAGAATCGATGTCCAGACAAACATCGTAGCTGTGTGTGTGTGTGTGTGTGTGTGTGTGTGTGTGTGTGTGTGTGTGTGTGTGTGTGTGTGTGTGTGTGTGTGTGTGTGTGTCTGTGTCTGTGTGGCCCCCCATGTGAAGCCGTGTTGAGACATTCTCATAAAGATGGCTTCTTATCAGGGCTATATTATCCATTAGGTACTTTAGGCATAGTGACTAGGGTCTACGAAACTTTTAGGGTCTACGAAACTTTTAGGGCCTACGAAACTTTTAGGGCCTACGAAACTTTTAGGGTCTACGAAACTTTTAGGGCCTACGAAACTTTTAGGGTCTACGAAACTTTTAGGGTCTACGAAACTTTTAGGGCCTACGAAACTTTTAGGGTCTACGAAACTTTTAGGGTCTACGAAACTTTTAGGGCCTACGAAACTTTTAGGGTCTACGAACCTTTTAGGGTCTACGAAACTTTTAGGGTCTACGAAACTTTTAGGGTCTACGAAACTTTTAGGGTCTACGAAACTTTTAGGGCCTACGAAACTTTTAGGGCCTACGAACCTTTTAGGGTCTACGAAACTTTTAGGGTCTACGAAACTTTTAGGGTCTACGAAACTTTTAGGGCCTACGAAACTTTTAGGGCCTACGAACAATTTTATGAAGTTAAAATATAATTTTTTTTTTTAATTTATCAGTCAAATAATAATAATATCAACAACAACAACAATAATGTATTGTGTACATTAATACTGAAATAAATTAGTTATGTAGGTCGCAGATAGGGGGAGGGGGGTTCGAATTCAAGTGAGCCTAAGGCCTACGAAGGTCTTAAAACCGGCGTACTGCTGATTACATCAACTGTGAATGTCTGAATGAATGTTTAATGTACGTGTCTCTGGTCTACATCGTGTATACGTGTCTCTGGTCTACATCGTGTATACGTGTCTCTGGTCTACATCGTGTATACGTATCTCTGGTCTACATCATGTTCCATTTCATTAACAATGCTATCGATAAATTAGACACATGTGCAACTCTTGGGTATCTTTACTGAAGAAACGTTTCGCCACACAGTGGCTTCATCAGTCCATACAAAGAAGAATGCTGAAGAACAGGAGGAGTTTGAGGTAATCAGTCCCTCAACCTTCGACTACGATGCTCTTCGCACCTACTCCAAGGTTGAGAGACTGATTACCTCATCTTCTGTACATAGTTCTACTGTCTTCAAGTTATGTCCTGGAATTTGTATTGATAAACTCACTGGATAGCGAAACGTCTACAATAAAGGTTTACACTATACCCTGTGGAGGCTGCGACAAGATTTATGTAGGTGAAACACCAAGACACCTCGACACCCGCCTCATTGAACACATTTACGCATGTAGGAACGATAACTTAAACAACGCCTGTGTACAACACCGAAATTCCACCGATCATCTCATGAAGTTCAGGGACGCCCAACTAGTGATCAAAGAAACTAATTTCCGCAGACGCAAGTGTCTTGAATCTTCACTAATAGCTGTTTCTAATACAATTAAAAAAAAGGCAGCTTCACCATCTCTGAAGTCTTAGCAAAAATCCTCCTGAAAACAGTAAATCCTGCCATCACATAGCCTCTCCTGCTAAAACTACACAAGCACATTATAGAGAATGAACGTTGAAACAGGCCTTCTCTATCCAGCCTCCAATAGAAATATTTGTCTAACCAATTTTTGTTTCCCAAGTAATAGCTTTGTATTGTATACAACTTGTCAGACACTGCAACATCATGGAATGAAGATTGAGACACTTATGCAACATATGGGAATCTTTATTCAGGAAATGTTTCGCCACACAGTGGCTTCATCAGTCCAGTACAAAGCAGAAGGTGTAAGGAGAGGAGGAGTTTGAGGTAATCAGTCCCTCATCCTGGAGTCGATGTGTTCAGTCCATCAATCTTGTAGAATGTACAGCATAGGGCCGTAAACGTGGCTTATATACTGTAGTCAGGTGAGGCGAAGCAGGAGAATTCTGAGGACATGTACATAACCTTCACGACAACTACAACTAACCCATCTCTTTGGGTAGGACCTACTTCCACTGGGGAGTCCCGCCTACCAGTGACTATGTCCTCGTCTGCTACACGTTCCATTTCCACCTGACGTTAGTATATAAGCGTCAGGCGCCTTGCTCTGCTTCAGAATCTCCACGACTACGATGCTCTTCGCACCAACTCCAAGGTTGAGGGACTGATTACCTCATCTTCTGTACACAGTTCTACTGTCTTCAAGTTATGTCCTGGAATTTGTATTGATAAAGCCACTGGATGGCGAAACGTCTACAATAACGATAACCAGATGTTGCACATGTGTCTTAATCTCAGCTTTTATATCCTTTACTCATGTGCAAGTTAATTGTTCTAACATACTGTGTTACTACTTATATCACTACTACTTATATCACTACTACTACTACTACTACTACTACTTATATCACTACTACTACTACTACCACTAGTATTGTACCTCACTCTGAGCCTATATATACCCTCTGTGTTCATGTACTGTTTGTTAACGGCTTGATAAAGCTCCTGGAGAGCGAAACGTTGCCACATTAAAATGTCACATTAGTTGCACTTGTGTCCTTTTACTTTACATACAATAAAGATACCCAGATGTTGCACATGTGCAACATTGATAATGTGTTTGGCGAATATTTTTGTTAGTGGGTTTGGGTTTGAGAAGGACTTGCCAAGACTGAGCCAGTAGGCCTGCTGCAGTGTTCCTCCTTATGTTCTAACGTGATTAGCTCCTCAGCCTGGAGTCGATGTACAGGTTGTACAAGTGTCTTATAAGAACACAAGAACATAAGAAAGGAGGAACACTGCAGCAGGCCTGTTGGCCCATACTAGGCAGGTCCTTTTTGTTAAGGATTGTAAAGGACCTGCCGAGTATGGGCCATCAGGCCTGCTGCAGTGATCCTCCTTTCTTATGTTCTTATCCTTCCCACTAACAAAATATTTGCCCAACCCAATTTTCAGTGCTACCCAAGTGGGATGAAATGTAAAGGACCTGCCTAGTATGGGCCAACAGGCCTGCTGCAGTGTTCCTCCTTTCTTATGTTCTTATGTTCTTATAAGTTGATGATTCTGTGATGAATAATTTTGAAAACCATTATTCTATAAAGATACCCAAGAGTTGCACATGTGTCTAATTTATCAACATGTCGGTTCTCTGAACCATTCATCTACAAATTCTATTTACTCTTTATGCAACTCCCACTCAAATCCGTCAGGTGGGTACAACGACCTTCCTGACGGTTCTCTTAATCAATTGTTTAAATTCCATGTTGTTGATCTTGCAGGGAGACGATGGAGAGCATGTTGTCTGAACACCCGTACTTCCGCAACGCCCTGGCGCCGTCCCTCGACGCCGCCCACCAGAGCACCTCCTCGCCCCTCACCCTCGAGGAACGTGCTCTCCTCGCCGCCCGCGCCCATATGTTCTTCCGCTCATCCCATACCTCCACCCCCACCACCCCAACCACCTCACTCGCCACCACCTCCCTAACCCCGCCATCCTCCTCTTTCTCTAGCGGGGGGATGGGTCCCGGCCTGGGACCCAACCTCGGGTCAGGTTTGAGTGGTTTGGGGAATCTACCGCCCGCTATCTCCCAGTTATACAGTCTTGGGGGTGGTGGAGGGCGGGCGGCAGCCACACCCACGCCGGTCAACCTGCCCCTGCAGTTGTGGTCGCAGTGGGCGGCATTGCATGGGCTCAATCAAGTTAATGCAACTTTGCTGGCCCATCATGCCTCTCTGACCGCAGCTGCGGCCGCCCACACCTCCCCGACGGGCGTGGCACACCCATCCCGGGACAGTGGAGCCGCCCCATCGCAGTCAAGCGGTACAGGAGGACCTGACGGGGGGGTGAGGCTCCCCAGGCCCATTTACCCTCCCCTGGTTCCAGCCCTGCATCGTTTTGCCCCGTATTTCCACCCCAAAGGGAGCTCCTCTCCCACCCACCAGCACCCGGGATCGCCCGACCCCCGCCCTCCTCCTGAAGGGTCACCGGGGCAGCTAGCCTGAGGGCGGCTCCTCAGGGCCGAGGAACAGCGTACGTCTCCTGACGTAGTTCACGGTCACCAGGTGTCCAGTAGCTGGTCTCACGTCGGCGATACCTTCAGTCAATATACTGGTCACGGCAGCGAAGATGACACCCAACACTACCTGACGGAGTCAGGTCGCAACTCTCACCTGACGGAGGCAGGTCGTAATATCCACTTGACTGAGGCAGGTCGTAGTACCCACCTGACAGATGCAGGTCCTAGTACCCACCTAACGGATGCAGGCCGTAGTACGCACCTGACGGAGGCAAGTCGTAGTACACACCCGACGGAGGCAGGTCGCAGCGCTCACCTAACGGATACAGGTCACAGCACCCATCATCAGACTCTAACTCCTGAGCTCTCCAGCAGTTCGCCACAGCGGTACATCGACGTGGACACACTTGTGAACCACTAACCTCCTGGCTGCTCGACGCACGCCCCTCTTGTGCATGCCCTACGACCAGGCGTACGCCCCTCCCGTGCACGCTCTACAACCAGGCGCACGCCCCTCCCGTGTCTTGAGCATCAGTCACGTTCAACTCTCTGAGGGACACTGCAGGTCACGTTCAACGCTCCGAAAGACACTGCAGGCCACATTCAATGTTCCTCGGCAGACCATGAATGCACCAGGCTCCGTTCAGTATTTTGCAGGCGCTCTGGTATTCGGCAGGGCTCGTTCAACCTCTGGCAAGGACTTTATGCTCCGTTCAACGTTCTACAGGACTTTGGAACACGGGAGGCACTGTTTAACTATCCGTCAGCAGCCTAGGGAAATTCCAGACCTCGTTCAGTGCTACGTCAGTGGCCAAGGTACACTCCGAGTTTTCTTCAATGTTCTGTAATCACCCAGGGACTCATCTGATTTGCTGATTGCTTCTAAAGTAGTCCAGGAATGACTTCTGGAACCCAGAGGCACTTCAGAGCCCTGTGAACGCTTTCTAAGTGGCCAGTTGGTACTCCAGACCGCGTTCAGGGTATTCTGAGATATGCCAGACCACGTTCAGGGTATCGTGGGGCATGCTAGGTCCCGTTCAACGCTCCGTGTCCAAGGACACACTAAGCCCCCGTTCGATGCTCCGCTGACACGCAACGCGTCTGCCAGAGTCGAAGCCTCTCTAATCCCTCGATTTCCGGCTGACATTTGCGAATCCACAGCTGTAGTGTTCCGAAACCCAAACATAATCCCATTCCGCAAAAGCTAGGGAAACCTTAAAGCAACCGCGAATGCAGAAAAAAAAACTGTTACATATTACTCTGTGCCACGCAAAAAAAAAAAAAAGTAAATGTAAGTGAATAAGGAGAAAACAAAAGAGGCTGTGAGAGAGGTTTCTCACTGCCAGACTTGACTCTCAGATAAGAATGTTTAGTTATAACTTGTAAACATGGAGTATTAGTCCGCACTGCGGAGGTCATGTTTACTACGATCCTCGCAACTGTAGTGTGTTAGTTGATTTGAAACTTAAGGAAAGGTCGGGCAGGAAATTTTCCCTACCGAGTCTGTTGTGAACGTTTGTTGTCTTAGGTGTAATTAGTTGTCCCGATCAACTTATTCCACTAATTATATTTGTTTCCCAGCAACCAACAGTTTTGGCAGAAAAACGAGGTCAGTGGCGATCACAAACAACAAAGAGAGTAGTTTAGGATTTTTGTCTCGTTTACCATAGACCAGGTGATCCCCATCCACACTGCTGGAATACTAGTGCACTGTAGAAACTAATAGTGCACTGTAGACTTATACTAGTGCACTGTAGACTTATAGAGTCTCAGGCCTCTCATACACCCGAAAGTCACATATGTAGAAACTAGATGTGACCCTGAAACCTCTTTCATAGTGTAGACAAGGAGCTCCTGATAAAACTGTGTGACTGTATCTTCCTTGTCTCGCCAAATACATGTATAAACAAAAGTCCCTGTTGGTTCTTGCTAATGTATATTAATGTGTCTAACTTTAGTCTGAATCACATGTTTGTATTAATTGACCAAACATTTGTTTTTGTTTAATGTTGAATATACGTTGTGTATCGAGAGTTTCCACATATAACTGGAGAAACACATTCCAAACACCTAACATAAACTAATGTTAAGTGCACCTTTAACAATGTTGTTGTATTTATAACATTTAACTACAACTGTGACCTACAATGTAAATTCCATACACTTTGGACCATAGTCTGTCTATTTCTTGCCCTTGATGGAGGTTCTTTGATGTTGTAACTATGGTAAACAGCCGCGGGGGCGTGGATCCCCGGAATACCCTCCAGGTAGACTCCAGGTACAGTACCGATAAGTAGTTAAGTAAGACAAGTGCAACAGGTTGATATCTGTATTCCGAAAAGTTTCGCCTGCACAGCAGGCTTCTTCGGTGGAATACAGAGGAGGTAGTAGAAGCGGTTGAAGTGTAAGGATGATGTATTCAGTCTACCACCCTCGTCGAATTTGGCTGGAGGTGGTCAGTCCCTCAACCTGGAAGAGTTCAGCTCTAAGTTCTGAAATAATGTGACGACGACAGAAGAGGTGGTGCCCACTAGTAGAAGCAAGAATGTGAGACTAAGAAATACTAGTCACTAGTGGGTACCGCCTCTTCTGTTGTCATCAACATTTTCTGCGCCTCACCTTTGACAGTATATAAGTCTCCATACTGCAGAATTCTTTCTCCTTCGGGAGGCAGAGATGGGTCATGGCAAGATTGAGACCCGTGCCAGGACTCTGGTCTTGGCCAACATTGTACATACACATATATGCTAGAGGTTCACACTGTTCCAGACCGTGGAGCTGGACTCTTCTCCGGGCTGAGGGACTGACCACCTCAACAACCACGTCTTCCAGGGTGATGGACTGATAACATAATCTTTACACCTCTACTGCTTCTGCTGCCTCTATACTAGATTGTTGCACGCTGTCTTGGCCAGGATCCTTGATAGCCCATGAGAGGCTCTTGATGCTAGGAGCTGAATCTGTGTTCCCTTCAATCGAGCCTTTTATTTACCTTTCCCTACCCACAGGCGCTGCATGACCCCTACAGGTTTAGCGCTCCCTATGGCTGTAATAAAGGACTACTGATATATTTAACGACCTCAATTCTTCGTGTAAGTCGTCCCCCCAAAAATAATTAATAATCCTGATGCCAGTTAAGGGCTCAAAGGAATGGAGCTGCCCTCCCATTCCTTGGATCAGACCTGATGAGCTGTCCCTGGGACTAACAGGTTTAGCGCTTCAAGAGGAATGGTAAGGACCTTCGAGGGACGGATGAGACTTGATGATCCTGGGAAGAGTACACGTCCTGTGTTGTAGCAACACTGGTAAGTGATCATCAGTAGCAACACTGGTAAGTGATCATCAGTAGCAACACTGGTAAGTGATCATCAGTAGCAACACTGGTAAGTGATCATCAGTAGCAACACTGGTAAGTGATCATCAGTAGCAACACTGGTAAGTGATCATCAGTAGCAACACTGGTAAGTGATCATCAGTAGCAACACTTGTAAGTGATCATTAGTAGCAACACTGGTAAGTGATCATTAGTAGCAACACTGGTAAGTGATCATCAGTAGCAACACTGGTAAGTGATCATTAGTAGCAACACTGGTAAGTGATCATCAGTAGCAACACTGGTAAGTGATCATTAGTAGCACCACTGGTAAGTGATCATCAGTAGCAACATAGGTAAGTGATCATCAGTAGCAACACTGGTAAGTGATCATCAGTAGCAACACTGGTAAGTGATCATCAGTAGCAACACTGGTAAGTGATCATCAGTAGCAACACTTGTAAGTGATCATTAGTAGCAACACTGGTAAGTGATCATTAGTAGCAACACTGGTAAGTGATCATCAGTAGCAACACTGGTAAGTGATCATCAGTAGCAACACTGGTAAGTGATCACCAGTAGCAACACAAGTAAGTGATCATCAGTAGCAACACTGGTAAGTGATCATCAGTAGCAACATAGGTAAGTGATCAGTAGCAACACTGGTAAGTGATCACGAGTAGCAACACTGGTAAGTGATCATCAGTAGCAACATAGGTAAGTGATCACCAGTAGCAACACAGGTAAGTGATCATCCGTAGCAGCACTGGTAAGTGATCAGTAGCAACATAGGTAAGTGATCATCAGTAGCAACACTGGTAAGTGATCATCCGTAGCAACACTGGTAAGTGATCATCAGTAGCAACATAGGTAAGTGATCATCAGTAGCAACACTGGTAAGTGATCATCAGTAGCAACATAGGTAAGTGATCACCAGTAGCAACACTGGTAAGTGATCACCAGTAGCAACACTGGTAAGTGATCATCAGTAGCAACACTGGTAAGTGATCACCAGTAGCAACACTGGTAAGTGATCACCAGTAGCAACACTGGTAAGTGATCACCAGTAGCAACACTGGTAAGTGATCATCAGTAGCAACATAGGTAAGTGATCACCAGTAGCAACACTGGTAAGTGATCACCAGTAGCAACACTGGTAAGTGATCATCAGTAGCAACACTGGTAAGTGATCACCAGTAGCAACACTGGTAAATGATCACCAGTAGCAACACTGGATAGTGATCACCAGTAGCAACACTGGTAAGTGATCATCAGTAGCAACACTGGTAAGTGATCACCAGTAGCAACACTGGTAAGTGATCATCAGTAGCAACACTGGTAAGTGATCACCAGTAGCAACACTGGTAAGTGATCATCAGTAGCAACACTGGTAAGTGATCATCAGTAGCAACACTGGTAAGTGATCATCAGTAGCAACACTGGTAAGTGATCATCAGTAGCAACACTGGTAAGTGATCACCAGTAGCAACACTGGTAAGTGATAATCAGTAGCAACACTGGTAAGTGATCATCAGTAGCAACACTGGTAAGTGATCACCAGTAGCAACACTGGTAAGTGATCATCAGTAGCAACACTGGTAAGTGATCATCAGTAGCAACACTGGTAAGTGATCACCAGTAGCAACACTGGTAAGTGATAATCAGTAGCAACACTGGTAAGTGATCATCAGTAGCAACACTGGTAAGTGATCACCAGTAGCAACACTGGTAAGTGATCATCAGTAGCAACACTGGTAAGTGATCATCAGTAGCAACACTGGTAAGTGATCATCAGTATCGTGGCAATACTCAAGTGATTATCAATGTTGTAGCAACACTGGCAGATTCGTTCTCCTAAACGAACCTGCCTGGACTTTCTACGCCATTTTTCAACATTGCAAGCTGCGTGTGCGCTTGTAACGTATTTATTACGTTACGTAAAAATAAATGCTGGCGTCTAGGGATTAAATAGTGTCTATGGGCATTTAAAACATTAATGTACACTACACCAACCTGGGACCAACCTAGTTCCTTCAGATAATAAAATTAATTAAATGGCCATTACATATATTTATTATAGAGGACACAAAAACAATGTACAAAAATACAACTGTATTAATAAACTTACATATACAACATACAACGTACATATTACACAATAACTAGCACAGTAGTATGATTTAAGATAAACAAGGGGGTTCTGACAGAACCCCTTCCCCCTTTCTGCCGGCCTTTTAACCTGCAGGGAAAATATTATTGTGTCCACGACACAGGCACCTGCACACACTAGGGACTTCAAGGAAATATCCGGAAAGTAAATACAAAAATTATTAAAACAACTTATGGTATAAACTTACTTAAAATCACCCCCCCCCCCACTTAAACACCAAACCATGACGTCTTATGACGTGCTCCGGCCGCCGCTCTTCCAGTACTGATACATACCTCTCCTGCGCCTGCCCTGTCCTGGCTACTCTTCACGACTGATACGCGTCTGGTTTCAGAACAAAACCCGTAAACTGACATATATGGAGCGTTTTTTATACACATATTTTCTACAGTACCCTGCGTAATAATTATATATATATTAAAATATTGTAAACTTATCTAAAATATATTTAGTTGGATTAGGCTAAATTAAATTGTGCTTGTTATAATAAGGTTAGGTAAGTTTTCTAAGGTTCTTTTGGTACAAAATTATTAATTTTTACGTTAACATAAATGAAAAATATATATCTTTAAACGTATAAGAGAAAATTTTAGAAAGGACTTAATTTTAAATGAGTTTTTGCTAATTGACCAGTTTTACATATTCGGACTATTAACATGGTTTATATGCAGTGTGTGACTACACGTGGTATACATACCCTTCCTGGTATACATACCGTTCATGGTATACATACCCTTCCTGCTATACATACCCTTCCTGCTATACATACCCTTCCTGGTATACATACCGTTCATGGTATACATACCCTTCCTGGTATACATACTCTTCCTGGTAAAACATACCCTTCTGGTATACATACCGTTCATGGTATACATACCCTTCCTGGTATACATACTCTTCCTGGTATACATACCCTTCCTGGTATACATACCGTTCATGGTATACATACCCTTCCTGGTATACATACTCTTCCTGCTATACATACCCTTCCTGGTATACATACCGTTCATGGTATACATACCCTTCCTGGTATACATACCCTTCCTGGTATACATACCGTTCATGGTATACATACCCTTCCTGGTATACATACTCTTCCTGCTATACATACCCTTCCTGGTATACATACCGTTCATGGTATACATACCGTTCATGGTATACATACCCTTCCTGGTATACATACCGTTCATGGTATACATACCCTTCCTGGTATACATACCCTTCCTCGTATACATACCGTTCACGGTATACATACCATTCATGGTATACATACCGTTCATGGTCTGTATACCGTTCACGGTATACATACCGTTCATGGTATACATACCCTTCCTGGTATACATACCGTTCATGGTATACATACCGTTCATGGTATACATACCCTTCCTGGTATACATACCCTTCATGGTATACATACCCTTCCTGGTATACATACCCTTCCTGGTATACATACCCTTCCTGGTATACATACCGTTCACGGTATACATACCCTTCCTCGTATACATACCGTTCACGGTATACATACCATTCATGGTATACATACCCTTACTCGTATACATACCGTTCACGGTATACATACCGTTCATGGTATACATACCCTTACTCGTATACATACCGTTCACGGTATACATACCGTTCATGGTATACATACCCTTCCTGGTATACATACCCTTCCTCGTATAC